CTGACTAAATGAAGCTTGCTCGGGATGTAGTTCTTAATTAAGACTTAGCGGCTCTGGCAGGGAACATTTCAGCAGCTGCAGCTCCTCTGGAAGAGGGCTGGGTTGACGCTTAGCTGCTAGTGTCGACTGATGTGTGTGTGTTTTCAATAACGCAAACTGACAGTCAGCTTCAGGTGAAGATGCATATTAAAGATGGAAAGGCGTCACTCACACAGAGACCCACACACACATCCACATGCGCTCACACCTTTATCTCTGTCCTATTGAATAACTCTCTGATGCTTTCCATATTCCATGTGAGGGATTATTACAGCTTACCCACAATCCCCAGCAGCTGATTATCCTGCTGTTGACAGGACAGAGTTGTGCTATCGCCCTTGTGCAGCAGTCAGCTGTGTGTGTGTGTGTGTATATGAGAGAGAGAAAGGAAAAAAACATACTGTATTTAATATGTTTGTTTGTATGTGACAGAGGAAAGTAAAGATTTATTCTGCATTTATATGTATACAGACGGAGGAAATAATTTTCTTCTTTTGCATGTGTGTGTGTGTGTGTATGTGTGTGCGTGTGTGTGTGTTAGTGCTCAACCCGGCAGGTGTTTGTGGTTGATACCTGCAGCTCCAGCAGTGCTGATCACCTCAGCATGTCACCTCACCTTGGGAGAGAGACAGCTCTAAGCTCATTAGCGCACACACACACACACACACACACACACACACACACACACACACACACACACACACACACACACACACACACACACACACACACACACACACACACACACACACAAACACAGGTGCCTAGCTCAGTGGTCTACCTGGGGAGGTTTGGGGGAAAAAAACATGAGGACAAGAGGAAAAAGGCAAATAAGCTCAAGGGAGATAGAGGAGAGGAAAGAAGAGTATATTTCCTTAGAGGAGAGGAGAGAAAATCGGTTTACCAAACAAAAGATAACCAGGTACTTGTGGAAAACAAAGAGATAGATGAGGGAAGGGGGGAGTGTGGGGCCTGCAGGGACAAAAAGTGAAAAGAAATAAGAAAAGGAAAAAGCATCTTGGTAGACAAAGGCTTTGAAAGAAGGTAGAAGAGAGGGAGGAGGGAAACATAAATGAGGATGAGAGGAGGAGTAGGGAAGGGTAGAGAAAGGAAAAGAGGAGGAGGCCTGAAGACAGCATAACAGGATGTAATGGTTTTATTCATGCTGGCAGCAGCTGCACTCTCGTTATCCCCCGCTCCTATTTGTGTGAATTCAATTTAATCTGGTCGTATTGTAGCTTGTCTTCCCTCTACTGTTACTGCGGTCTATGTGACTCAGAGAAGAAAATTTAAACAGCATTACGGTGATGGTTAAGTCCAACTTATGATGATTGAAGAAAAACTACACACATCCCAAGGTTAAATGCAGCTGAAATTAAGCGCAAACATCAATCAATGAGAGGTCTAGAATACCACAACAATCAGAAATATGGGTTGGAGTGTTTGTATGACAACATTATGGCCCCGATATGTCCCATACTGTCATTTAGTAACTTAAAGCTGCACTACATCAGTGTTTTTATGGTAATAATGTATCAAATGACATGTGATCAAATGAAATGTGTAATGTAAAATGGGTCATTCATAGTTTTTTTGGTTGTTTTGATTTTCTAGCCCATAACTTTACTGTTTTGGTTCTTACTGTTCTTATTAGCGTTATTTTCCACAGCAGCGTGCACCTGTTTTCAGCAAAAAGGCTCTGATAAACCCACTGTAAACTACCTGCTCAGCAGCAAACGGCACACAGGCAAAGTCAGCAAGTAATATTTGCTCAGGTTGATGGTGGAGCGCAAAAGAAAAGATCTGAAACAAGAGCGAATACTGGACTTCCATTCACCAGGTGGCCAAAAACACAACTCCAAATGAATTATAATGTTGATCTCTTCTGGATGCTGTTTGCCACAACTGTATGTGCGTTCACAGCTTGTTCTGCTCCCTCAAATTATGCTAAAAAAAACAACAAAGTTTTAAAATTTTATTCTTCAGTCATCATTGATGTTCAGCGCATACATTTTAATCATTATTTTGTGATGTGTTGTGGAAATTAACTTAGTAACTTATCCATTGCACCTGAATGTGCACTATTCATTTCGGTCTAACAGTATTTTATTTATGTCAGTCTAAAATATTTAGGTTGTCCCAGACTTGAGAAAGAAAATTTAGAACAAATTAAACAAATAATGTTGAATGAAATTTAGATTAGATTAGAAATTAGATAGAGCAACTAATCACTCTATTACACAGTCATTTGTATTTCTGCATCTGGATCCCCAGTATTAATAACTATTAAAACTTAACTGTAAATCCTAAAACAGAGCATTTTCAAACTGAGCACAACCTGAAATGTCACTCTCTCATGTCCTGAACTAGTCCCCGTAAATGTAGAAACACAAGTATACTCACATCCGTACTGTACACATAAGCTGAGCAGTGGGAAGAGAGCACCTTTTTTGTGTGGCGTTGAGATAAATAGGATTAGGGATTTGGGAGATTTAGGGGGAATAATCCGTCTGTGTATCGGAGAGAGGCAGCAGCGGTGATGATCAAAAGAGAACGCTGTGATTCAGAGCTCAGAAATCTCTAGATAGACTGAAAACTTGGAGTGACATTTTCTCCATTTTTTCTCCAAGGATCAGCTTTCGTTTTGTCACTGTGACTGTTGTAATTGCTGCATAATCACCTCATACTGTACAACGCTGTCTGCGTGTGTGTGTGTGTGTGTGTGTGTGTGTGTGCGGAAATGTGTCTGTGTACGAGAGCCGGGGATAGACAGAGAATTATATATTCACAGTAATTAATCAGATTTACAGTTTACATCAGGGGAGAGAGCTTGTCTGTTTGTAGTGGGTGTTAGTATTAAGCAGGGGATTGGACTTGGTTATTTAACACACAGTTGATTTGAACAGCTGCTCTGGTCTGCTACTATCACACTGGCGAAAAAACCAAAAAACCTCTGCACACCGGTAACTTCTCCTTTCTGTAGACATCCCTGGCTGTTTGAGTGGACCACCCAGCTTCTTCACTCCTCATCCTTTACCCACTTAATGCTATTCAGGAGCACAAGAGGCTAGAACCTAAAAGCAGGAGAGAGAAGGCAGGAAAATTATGTAGGCAGTGCATGTGTTTTCACAGGGTAGAAAAAGATGCAGTATGGTGAGGATCTGTAGGAACAAGTAGTAGTCCAGAAGAGTCTGTGAAGTGCAAAATAAAATGCTAAAGAATTAAAAAAGCTGAGCATGTGACATCTCTGCTGGAGAAACCTGACTGACACGTACACCTTCAGCTGGGTTTTTTTCATATTTGTAGGGAAATAGGGAAAGGAATTGGGAATAACATCGTTGGAGAAATGTGTTATACAGTCTCCCTTTGACACTAATCAACTGCAGTACCAGTAGTTATTAAGACTGAGATTTTCCCGTGAAACAACTGTTTTAGAGTCATCACATGTGAAAGTGTTATATCCCATTTTAAAGTTAAACTTGATTACTTACAGTGTATGTAATATCTTTTTTTTTGCCGACAGACAGATTTTCTGTGGTGATCAGATTTCTCTTCCTCATTTGACCAACTAATGAGATTTTGTTTCCTGTCACATGGGAGAAAAGTGGATCACAGACAATTTTAGTTGAAAAACTACAAGAATAAATGCTTAATATTATGTTTAATAATACAAAGGCTGTAGCTCTCACTGTACACTTATGTCAATGCATAAAGACAATGTTATAGCAGCAGCAGCAGCAGCGAACCACTGCACGTACAGCTGGCGCATTTCAACCTGCCCACACTCAAGCAGAAATCATTCAGTCAAGTTGCTTGCTGTGTGAAGTGGATTCACACTTGCATTAATACCTACAGAGATTTGATCCCATTCGGGTAAATTTCAGCTCGTACTGAATGACTATCTTTACTGGATGCTGTCAAAGGTTTCATCCAGTCATACATACATTATGGATTATGTATCATACAGACAAGAGCAGCCACTGAAGAAGCAAACCTCTTCACTTTGGACCAAAATATCACCACTTAAATGCCTCCTGTCTTTTCACGTTATAAGTTTGTACATGGATATACAGTAAGTACATATGTAGATAAAATATGTATGTTTTAGCTACCAACACTTGTAGTGAAAGTGTTTGAGTTACACTCAACACAGAAAGGACAACCTGGTTAAACTCAATTTTGTTTTATCTTCTTATGTTGTAACTTGCAGAGTGTGACTAAATGACTTACGTAATGATCGTTTTGGTTAGATCGTTTTGTGCCAGCACCCCCCATACTTGCTCACACTAAAAATCACCTTCACAATGACAAAAGGCTGTTGATATTTTTAAAAGCAAACAGGATTCAAGGACATGTCTATACATGTTTGAAAAGACACTTCTTATTTTGGGAATGCACAAGCAGCGTGGTGTGTGATCTTCAGTGCAACTCCTAAACTCTTCTACCATAATAAAGCATGGCGTACTAGAGAAGAGCTGTGTGAAACTAAAGGGAATCTAAGAAAATATTTGGGTGAACATGCAGAGAGCCAGGACAGGAATTAATGATGTTTCCATTACATTGCAAGTTGTTTCGTTAATCTTTACTCCATTAACACATATAACTGCATCTTCTTAGAAAAGTACAGGTGACTTAAATTGAAAACTCAATGTACCAAAGATGATTCAATAAGTTTTTTTCATTTTATGTCAAACCTTTATCCACACAGAACTGAATTAGGGTAACGATTATCCTCTGCTGGTCTCAGAGCAGTTTCAGTAAGATAGACTTTGCACAAGGGAACAATGAGAATGGATTAAGTTGATGTTTACGTCTAGAATTTAAATTACCGTCTGTTTAAAAGGCTGATTCTCTAATCTCTGAGCTTCCATTGCATTTATCTATAATGTACCAAAAAAGGTTTTATAAATTAGGGCCTAATGTGTTCATGTACCAACCCAGAAAGTCAAAGACCACTCCAGTTACAAAAAAAACCCATTTATTGTCTAGATATTTCAATCATTTTAGATTAGCTAGCATTAAGACCATTTAGTATTTCTGCTGATTAGAGGTTTCTTTTCCATGTAAAAGATGTACAAAAACAGTTTGTCATTTCTAAAGCATGTCCTGTAAGAAAAAACAAAACAAAAACAAAGATATATACATTTGTACAAACATTCAACAGACAAAAAAAAAATAAACACAAGGTCATGAAAATAATGAGATTGAATGGCTGAAATTGACCAACTCCTTCCTGAAGCTGAAATACAACTGAACCTTCACTAACCTTCTCTATAAGACTACCTTGACAAATAATTTAATCTTGCTTGTAATCTTAAATCTCATTTGTAAAGTCAAAAGACAACATGACACTGTTGTACTTTTCAAGGCAAATTCACAAATGTCCCACATTCAACAATATTAGCATGAACAAATGACAGTATTTTAAAAAGGCAGTTTTTAAGATGACATTTGTTGAGTGAAAATGGAAGAAAGGACTTTTCACTTGTTTAAACATAAAATCAATAAAACCTATCAAGATCCTTTTAGAAGTATAGCTGGTCCCGGTCCCATAAAGCTGATTAGCCACCCATACTGATATCATGTGTTTTAAAGACTGATAAAAGGCAGGGTTGGGGTACATTTGCAACAGTAAAGACAGGAATCAAAGGGTTGTTTTTTTTATGTAAAATTAAGGGGGAAAATTTAATCCAAGCCCCTTCATTTAATTCATTATGATAAACCAATGAATGTACTGTAAAAGAGACCACAACCGAATAATTGCATTAAAATTGACAGCAAGGGCCTTGTCTTGATTTCAGCAACACCATATCCAAAAGGCTATCTGAAGCTCTACCCAGCTGACCAATTATCAATACTGTCTGAAATCTTTTTCAGTAATATAATGAATAAAGAAAGGCTCCTTCTGCTAATGGGAACCCCATCAACACCTTCAGTTACTGTTAGTATAGAGCGTAAGGGGCTAAAAAGTCAAAAGAAATTCCAGTATGAAAGCTTGTGTTGCTTGTGGAGTACAGCTGTGTGAAAGGGTAGGGAAATCATCTTGCTAATATTTCTCCAAAGTACATAAATGGCTTTTGGTGGCATATGAAATGGGTACCTCATGAGGATCCAACTAAACCATCACAGAAATTGACAACAGCGTGATGCTGGACAAGTCAACATGGCCTGTAATTGTGTGTACTAAGCGTGTAGGTGGACAGCTATCACTACAGTGCAGTTAGTGAGGATTGGACTTACTGTTGAGACAGAAAATGTACTTTTCAGACAGTGTAGGCGTTATCAGAACAGCAAGCTGAGGTTCTAAGGTCAGGGAGTCACAGCTGAGAGATCAACAGGCTGTGAGCATTGTCTGGAACAAAATACAAACCAATATGTTCTGCATGTCTGCATTCACTGTCTCTAAAATGTTGCTTCTCCTCTTCCGTCTCTCTAATATTTTGTCAGTTTTTATCCACATTTTCCTCTTTGTTTACATAACGAAACATCTGGTTTGAGTGTTCCTTCTAGGGTCTCTGCCCCTGGTCGTGGCACTGAATCAAAGTGTGTTTTCAAATCGGATGTTCAGTACAGTGTTCTCCAGAAGAGCTGGTCTCAGTCTTTGGTTCAGTCATTATCTGGCCCCTGTAACTGATCCCAGTGCAGTCCGTAGCACAAAGCAGTAGAGACAAGAACGTCCAAATGGTTCCTCTCCTTCCATTAACATCCAGCTGCTCCAGTTAATTTCCAGCTGATATGGGAGTCATGTATACAGGCACGATAGATGTGTGCATGTAGAACGTTAGTCTCCTCGGTAGATGTAACAGAAAAACAAAGGCGGCGCCATCAAATTCACTCCTGTCCGCGATTTCTGTCTCCAAGCAAACATTTCTAGAAAAATATGTATCAGGTGTGTGGGAAAACAACATTGGTCCATGCTTTCTTTCCATATTTTTAGTAGATGACCTCATAAACAGTGGCCTTCTTGTCCCCTGAGCCGGTGACGATGTACTTGTCGTCCACAGATATGTCACAGCTTAGCACCGAGGATGATTCTTTAGACTGAAGAAAAACAAAGAGAGACAGAATTGGTGTGTGGGATCCTTGAAACTATACTCTTAGTAAAATATATTTACATCTGGTGCTCTCAATCCAATCAATATGGCTGAATGGTTAATAAGATACAGTTTCATAACATGTTTGATAATGTCACAGAGAAACATGCTGATGCAGAACGAGACGGGATATGTTGCCACACTCCAAGCAATATTTCACTGCAGGCTTGTTTACAACTTAATGTGTCATTAAAACAGTAAATGCACAGTAGTCATTGATGCAATGCAGTGCTGATGGAAATGCAGTTTGCCCTGTTAAAGCTGAAGCAGTAACTTCCGAGGCAACAGTTTTATATATTATCTAAGTTAATATATTATCTAATGAATATAGTGATCTGTTGCCCCAACCTGGAATATGCTGGCTCCATACGGTGTTCTCCACGCATTCAGTAAGTTATCCTTTCCTGTGCTCACAAACCATTTACCTGGGTAGAGATAAACACAAACAAACCCACAATAAGCATCCTCAGAGTAAAACAAAAAGACAGACAGTGACATCATTAACAAGATATAGTAAAAGTGAAAAAGGAAACCCCTTTTTAGAATAGAACAGATAAAGCCAATTAAAAGTCAACTTTAAGTGACGAAAGACCTGTGTTGCATGTCATACCACACTCTCTCTCTTCCTAGAACCGTCACAAGGACATTTAAATGACTAATTTTAAAGGTAGACTGCAAAAAGTGCATTGAAAAATTAGTCAAAGGAGGACTAAATAGATAGAGATCAAGGCAGGCTGTTGCTTACCACAGTAGGCAAACTGCAGGGAGAGAACACAGCTCTCATGTAGATGAAGCTGGTATTTGTCGGGCTTGGTGACATGAAGGACCTCGACGTTGCTGCTCTCCATTCCCACAGCAAGCCACTCTCCTGTCGGACAGTAGCCAAGAGAGAAGATCTGGACAGAAGACACAGGAAATGTTGTTTGAGTTGTATTAGCATTGAGCATCTGACCAGCTGCTAAAATTGAATTCAGGATACTACTTTTAATACAAATGTTACTGAATGGCATTCAGTTTTTAAAGGTTAGACAACAAAACGCTGCTTGCTGATAATGCGTGTGTACCTGTGATGTAAAGTCATGCTGCTGCAGCTGCCGTCCCTCTCGCAGATCCCAGGAACGCACAGTGTTGTCGAGGCCTCCGGTCCACAGCTTGGTGCCGTCATTGGAGATGTCAATACAGCTGGCTCCATCTGTGTGTCCCTGGAACTGCCTGCAGGATACACGCATACATTTTGAGTTAAATAAAGACAGAAATGTTTAAACAAAGACACACACTAGGCATCAGGTTGCCCAGGCAGTTGGTATGCGTCAGACTACCAAATGTGAAGGGCTTACAGTATTTCTCATCAGAAGCCATTCATCAGAAGTAGTGCTATTGTTGAACTTTAGGTGCTACAACTTATCTAATACTTAACTAATCATAAAAAGGTTCTATTAGACGGGGCTGACAGTCTGCTAATTAAGTAATTAAAGTAATTGCAGATGCCCTTATAAAGCCCAAAGCGTACGTACAACAGGGACTCTCTTACCTAACGAGGGTCTGGTTGTGTAAATCCCAGACTGCAATGTTTCCATCGCTGCAGCAAGAGAAGCAGACCTTGGAGTCCGGGCTGATGGCCAGAGCGTAACATGCCGGTGCTGATGATGTTAACTCTGCCTTAATCCTGGGAGTGGGTGTGGCCAAATCCCAGATTGACAGCGTGCTCGCCTCGCCTCCCACAATCAGCGTCCGACCATCAGGGAGGAGACGGCAGGAGCGGATGTAGTTGTCTCGGTTCTGACGTGGCAGACACACACAAAAAAAAATGTATTTAATGTTTTGCAAGTGTACAAAATTTTGTATAGATAAGACTCATACCACACAAATACAGTTGACTGCAGAAAATCTGGTTTTGACAGTTTCAATGAACAACACACACACACACACACACCTATCACTCAACAACATTTTGTACTGTATTTCGGCCCCACCAACCAGCACCAGTTCACTCACCAGACAGTCAAGCTGCGACACTGGACTCTTGTTTCCTGGGTGACTGATGTCCCAGACCTTGACACATCCTTTCCCTCCTGTGTAAACGTGTCGGGTGGGGTTACTGATGGTAACGGCACACACCACTTCTCCATGATTCAGTGTGTTGATCTGACGGGCGTGGCGAGGAATCCCTGGCCCTACCAAGGCATCCGGGGGGAACGGTACGGGCTGCATCTGCCCGTCGGCCGCCACATGAAAGGAGTAAGCACTGATGATACAAAGGAGGGGGAGAGAAGGAGGTTAAACATGAAGGTGAAGATGAAGAGAAGGAGACCACAGAAAGAAAGTGGAAGAATTTGCAGAAGAAGAGAAAGTGGTAAACACTGGAAGAGAAAAGCGTCTTTTCATTTTTTATAGAGCAGGTTTTTCTAGGACATATTACATGTTCCACAGGACAATTCACATACGAGCAGCTGCAAACACACTTACGGTTTGCCACCAGGGATTCCTGTTAGGCTGGGCGGCATTCCAGGAACTCGCATGTGAGGATGAGGATCAAAACCAACCTTGGAGGAGAGAACACAGACATTTTATGATACACACCCATGGGCCTTGGCAAAAACGCACACAGGTCAATACTAAACTGTGGAAAAGAACACAAACATTCATGATTACAAAGCAAACAGACCCTCTCCAGCTCACACACCCTTTGAATCTAAATGACAAGTTTAAGAGTCAGCAAACGCACAGAGGCTGAGCTGTCAGTACTTGTGCTATCACCAATGCAACACACACACACACACACACACACACACAGCTGGTTGAGTACACAACCTGAGTTTCTATCAAGTGTTGCCCAGACACAGCTGTGAGTCTACTAAACCTATTTAAACAGTGTAATGAACCCTTCGCAAATAGAGACAAGAGCGATGAGGTGATTGTTGAACGTAATGCACACCAACATGCCCACTGTATAAATACTGTCGCACAGAGAAGAAAAATACAGCTGTGCAACTATTGACACGCAATATAAAATATACAGTGCTTATGAAAAGTATTCACAACACTTAACTTCCTGATGTTTTGTCATTTTAAAACACTGAAATACTGCAGATTTAATTACAACTTTTCAACACAGAACAATTCTACAAATATTTTGCTTCATAAGACTTTACTGCTGCAGTCAAGTGTTTTTAGAAGCTCCTTCATAAGTTGAAGGAGATCACATGTGTTTAATCAAGGGGTGACAAGTGATTTTAATTTTGATTTCTGGAAGGTGCAACCATTATTGTCACTTTTATGGAAAAAGCTATGAACACATGTAGACAATTGATCAAATCAATCTACTGTTACTGAAAAGTAAGAATCAGAGGAAGGGTGCAAGAAAATCTCCAACACACTGATTATTTCCTCAGAGTATTGTGTAGACTGAAAAAGGAAAGAATATATTGTAGTACAGCTGTAAATCTGCCTGGAGTAGGTTACAAGGTTTCATGGCTGAGTTGTGAGTACTGTGCATACAACAACAGTTGCCCGGGTGCTTCAGGGAGAACGGCATAGAAGGCAGTAGAAGTAGAAGGCACGACTTAAAAATTCACTCTGTTCTGTTCACTCACATTTACCATGCAACTTCAGAGACCTCGAGAAGTTTTTGCAAAGAAGAATGGGATAAAAACTGAAGCGTCCAGGTGTGCAAAACCTGTTATCAGCCCAGCTCTACATAGAGTCAAGGTTGGAATCACAGCCACAGGAGGCTCTACTAAATATCGTCTTGAAGGAGGTGAATACTAATTTTCATGTTTGTACTTAGTTTAGATACATTTGTAGAGATTTGTTTTCAACTTGATATCTCTGTTGATCAGGACCAAAAATGCCTAATTACATCCACTGTGATTAAATATTTTATCAACAACGCAATGCAACAAAAGCTTTGTATATCAACAATTAGTAATATAACAAGAAAACAGTTAAACGCTTTTGTTGATCTGATATTTTGCAGAGGCTTTCTTTATTTTTGGGATGCAACAGATGGACGCACACAGATATGAAATGTCACCCTTTTCCACTCACCATGGGTGAACGGCCATACGCAGCCACAGCGGCCGCAGCAGCGACACTCATCTGAGGTGACATGTTGTGTAGCCCGGCAGCATAGGCCGCAGCCCCGGCAGCACCAGTTAGCTCCCCATTCATTCCTGCTGCGTGGGGCAACATACCAAATGCACCCGGATATGGGCCTGGTACAGCCAGGGGGGTCCGCAAACCTGCAGCTGAGGCGGACAGAGAAGGAAATAGTATGACACATGAAAAGCTGGCAACATCTTAAAGAGAATTCAAGTTCACAATCCCTTAAATATGTGAGAATACAAACCTGTAATCCTTGATTACAATTCTTTTTTTGTCTGTGATACAAAGTTAAATCAAGCATAAGCAAACAAGAGATTTCTAACCGAAACTGTGATTGCTGGCAATCAGATGCGTTTCATATCAAGTAGACTGTGGGGACCTACGCACATGTATGACGTTTTTCCAGAGTAAAGGTGTGCCGTGAAACATTAGTAGTTAAGACCTACAACAACAGTTTTTTCTGGTAGCAGGCAAGCTCTTTGAAACTTTACTATGAGGTTGAATTTTCCTGGGGGCAATTAAGAAAACACTTTAAACTTAAAGCCTTCTAGTAAAAGTGTGCAGTGTAAAGAAAGCACAACCTATCGTATAATGTATTTACAGATGTTTAACCTGGACTTACTGGGTGGATGTGGTATCTCCATGGAGGGGGGTTTTGACAGACTGGGCCGGATTCCAGGAGTAGAGCTCGGACCAGGTGTAGAGTCACCTCTTGGTGTGGGCGTGCTCGACTTTAGCCCCGGTGTACCTGCCTTATCTCGCTGCCACACAAAGAGAGAGATCCCTTAGAAACGTACAAGAAATATGTAACTACTGACATATATTCACTATCAATGGTCTGTCCATCTATATGCTAAAACAACAAAAACAACTGTCTATCCCTACCATTGACATCTCTTTGGATTTGAGGGAGGAGGAGCTTGCTGATGATGCAGTAGAGGCTGGACTACAGGGGTCTTTCTTGAGAAGGCGTGCTTTATCCAGGCCATTTTCTCTAGGGGAGGGTAGAGGCGTGCCACGGGGGGAGGCAGGATCCTGGTGGAGGGACAAGGATTCAGTACCCTAGAGCAATATTACTGCACAAAAGTGAGTTTCCTCGATAGAAGACTTCAACTATAAAAATATTGTAGTTTTCAAAAAAGGGACTGCATCAATCCCACGGCAAACAACCACAATTACAACATCTACTAACAAACAAAAAATATTTAAACATACTGACCTCATTCGAGACATCCACCACTAAGTTATCATCACTCTTCTCCCCATCGCTATCCTGCAAAGAAAGACAATCAGTTAGCGCCCCATTAAATATTCTGCACCTCCGTCTGGTAATTTTCTTAAACAGAAGATTGTCACAAATGTCCTTGCTCTATGATTAGCTGAAAAACAGCCTGTTAAAGGCATTTACAAGTGAATATTCAACTGGAAATAAATACCAATGTGAAGCATCACTCTTAAAATTCAGTGTGTGACTATGATGAATCTGTACAAACGCTTACAATACATGTACACATGAAAAGAGACAAATGATAAATAATTTTCCCTCACTTAAGTGAAATATTTCTTACATAGTGGCTGGAGTCCTTGTCATCCACCTTGCGTTTCTTGGTGTCATTTGAAAACTCAGGTCCATTGCGTCGCTTATCTGAGTTCCTAAGGCTTTCTGGCAGCAACGAGTTACTCTGCAGATGAACATAGAGGGGAGGTGTAGAAGGACAGAACACAGTGGGATAGGAGAGCAGAGACAAGAGAGATTTAAGAAAAACGAAATGTAGTGTAGAAAGAAAATAGAGAAAGGAGAGTTTGGAGGACAAAGGGGGAAAAACAAAACAAGAAAAAGGTTTGCAGACGTGAGACAATTTTGCCATTTACAGTTCAGGTTGTGCTTTCGGTGTGTGCATACTGCAAGAGCTCGCTAAACCGTCTGATCCATCTACCACTAATTACAACAGCTATTCAGCGTGTGTAGAGCAGGTTAGAAAAACAGACTCTTACTTGCAAATAGGTTAATAGTTCATAGCGTGGATTAAGCAGCACTAACACTTAAACAGCAACCTCTTTTCTCACTTGACCACAGCCACACACACAAACACACGCCTCTGAAGTTGATGATTACATTAAGTGGCCCTCAAAATCTATCAGTGCTCCCTCTCCTGGCTCTGACAAGCTGCACTGGCTGCAGTATGTGTGTGTACAGTGTGTAATTGACTGTAAAAGGCTGTGTGTATGACCAAGTGTGTAACAGACTGTGTGTGTGTGTATTACTTGCATAACACTTGTGTGTCCCTCTGTGTCCCAAGACTACATACACAGACACACACTCACACACAGACACACACACAGCTGCCCCCCTCTGGCCTCCTGACCAACAGATCCTATTGTTAATAGATTAAAGCTTCATGTTGAGTCCATTATAGTCTCAGCCTGTCAATGAAATGTGCATCCAACATACACAAACACACATGCACACATCTAGTGAGCGAGCGCTTGGGCTTTGAGGGAGGAAAGGGTAAATGAAGGAGGAATTGCTAAGAGAGGAGGGGGTGGTGGTGGTGTGAGAAAAAAGGGGAAAGGGAGGGGATGAGATTAGAGGACGGAGAGGATGGAGGGAGGGTGTGAGAGTGTGGAGGAGAAGAAAGGGTGACAAGAGACAAGGGAGGGAAAAAGAGGGGTGAAAATCTGTATTCTGCCAAAGGCCCCTTCCTTCACACCCTCTCCCCTTCCTCCCTCTCTCCCACCCACCTCCTCCCCCTTTATTGAAAGGTTTTAGTGAGTTGAGCACAGAAGCACTGACCCGCAAAACATAAGCAATTTCCCCCCACCGCCTCCCCCCTGTTCACTTTTAGCATGGTCTCTCACTCTCTCTCTCTCACACACACAAGAGCAGTGTCATATGACTGCTGGCCCCCCTCCCCTCCCTTTCCCAATCCCTCCCCTCTCAGTGGTGGTGATATTAAACACAATGAGAGTCTTTAAGCGGGGGATCAGGGGCAGGGGGGGCTGGGGGGTAATCTGCTCACTGAGGTGTTAAATAGGCACAACAATGCAGGATAGGCTGGAGGAGTGTGTGTGTGTGTGCACGCAACTGTGTGCGCGTGTGACCATGCTAAAAAGCTCATTTGGAGGAGAAAAGAAGCCCAACAGTTCAGAGAAGATCTAGGGCAGAACTAAACAGGCAGGCCGAAGCTCTACCCAAGAGATCCCAAAACACACACACACAAAAATATACTACTTAAGGATGAAAGCTATTTGCGCGTGAAACACAAGTAAAAATAAAAACAGCAAGTTTCTTTTATGCACATGGTGAGGTGAACTTTATTGAGTAATACTAAAATGAAAAAAACTGCAACAGCTGCACTTTACATAAGTTAAAGTTCAAAGTACTTTCATCAAATGTAAGGTAATGTGCTGTGACTCTTTAAATACTGTATTGTCAATAAAACACTATTGCATGTGAGACAACTGAATGGTTGGCCCAAGATGGGATATTTGGCTTAAGTGTTTATCCTACATTACCAGTGGTTGATAATAAAAAAAAGTTAAAGCACAAATCCAAACAATTAGATCATTACTTGAAATGGCTATGTAAACTAAATGTAGTTTACTTACAGCATACAGTCTAAATTTGTTTTTCCTTCAGCCTGAGTAGAGCTTACAGATCCCATAGACGTCTCTCAACTGAGCTAAGGCAAACTAATCTCACTGTTGAGCTAAAGTCAAACTGAATCTAAGACCAAAGTCAAATTCCCCAAAACCAAACTATCCCTTTAAGAAAGAAAGTAAACTGAGTTTGTCAGAACAGTAAACATTGCCACGGAAAGAGGAAGTACTTACTGTGCCGGGTTCTCGTTCTATTGCCATTGGAAATGCGTATATGTGGTTGAGGTCATAGGGTTGGGTGTTCAGCAGAGCAGAAAACAAAACAGAAAAAAGGAAAAAGAAAAGGGTATGAGTAAGCAATGTGAAGTCTATGTTTAATTGTATTTATAAATGAGAACCAAACATTCACACAGAAAACTGACTCAGAAGTAGCCAAAACCTTTTTTAAAAAAAAAAGGGATTAATAATAATAAATAACAGTATCTTTCAGAAAATTACAGCCTGCCAATTAAACGATATGGATGTTGGCTAAAAAGTGAATTGTATTATACATATTTTCAAAAATAACAAAATCCACACATTTCTGGACCATCTAACAGAAAAATATTTGTCTCTTTCTTTTCTCTAAGTTGCTGTGGTGGAGGGTGCGTTTGTTCACCTCTCAGGTGCTCAGGTCCTGAAGGGTGCGAGTCTGGTCCAGACAGGTGGGCCTTTTTATCCCCACCATCTTTTCCCATCAGATGGGGAGGAATACCACCAAGTGCTCCTGATAGAGCCAGGAGACCAGCTGAACCACCCAGCTGAGAGGGGTGGAGGCCAGCAGGGTGAGGGGTGAGGGGCACCGGGGCTCCACCGTGGTTATGGGATAGATGCTGCTGCTGCTGTGAGACAGAAAGAGGCAGTTAGTTAGTTGAGTTGAGAAAAAAAGTGGGACATTCTGAGATGCTGCAACATACACTTGAGTCGTGTTCAGGTGTTGTAGGCCTAAAGCTGGCAATATATATTGTAAAGAAAATAAATTGTTGATTTGCATCTGGAGCAGTCCATTTTTGATTCATACCTCGGTGTACTAGTGTTACTTTCGTCAGACGAAACTAAACGAAATATATTCGTCAACAACCTTTTGACAACAATTAACAAGGACAACTGACACAAACTGACAAATGGCTGACAAAATTAACAGCCTAAATTCTCACATCTGTGAGTCAGTGCAAAATGTTTGTACTAAAAAGATGAGACGTTCTGCTGCAATATAGCTGCCTAAATGTGCAAAACATTGACGCCTGACACCAAAAGGTCAAGTGTCAGTGAATGAAAGTGAGCCATCTATAGGTAAAAATCAATAGCACTATGTCACCCAATCAATAGAGATCTCTGACCCTATTGAAGTCTTCAACAGATGGGACAGTTTCTTCAGTGTCAGGGTTTACACCACCTCAACAGTCTGCAGTCTACAAGGCGGTGAACATATCCTCTCCCCCTACACGTCGACACACACACACACACACACACACACACACACACACACACACACCCTCCTCCCTCTAGGGTCAAACACTGAACAATACTGACAGCTGGGATCACAGCCCAGAGCCTGAGGATGTGGTGGTTGGGGAGGGGGGGAGGAAAAGGAGGAATGACAGAGAAGTTGGGGGAGAGAGCCGAGAGCCCCAGCTGCTGCCTGCACTGTCAGGTCTTATGAGGGAGTGAGGCGGCTGAGGAGAGAGGGGAGGAGAGGAGAGGAGAAGAGGGTCAGAGGGAGAGAGAGAGAAGAGGGAGACCGAGTTTGGCTGGCAGCCCTGCTCTCTCTTTCACACCAAATCAGGCGCTCGTCTGAGCGTGAAATGCCTTTGTGTTCCAAAACATCATTATTGCCTCCTCAGACAGTAGCCGCGGGAATCCAAGCTCACTGATTCGCCACCGGGAGGGGAGGAGGAAGGAGGGAGAGGGGAAGGGGGGCACAGGAGGCGACTCGGCAGGGGTGGAAGGAGTGCTGAAGGTCAAACCGACTTTTATCTCACCTAATTGACTAACCCACACCCCCTCTCCTGAGCCCCCGTCTATCCATCCTTCACTCTCTGCGTCCTGCCCCGATGAATGAAAGCAAAACAACGAAACAGTCTTTTAGCCTCAACCCCCATGCCTGCCTGTACACACACACACAAACACACACTCAATTTCCTGAGCTGGCTCGCCTGCCAAACAATCAAACATAAACACACCCACACGTCACACTTGATCGCACTAACATGCATACACAGAGTCTAGATAAACAAGGCACACACACCCTCACTCAACCATCTTACACCCAGCCTGTTGTTTTCTGGGGATAACAGAAATACACGCTTTGCTACACCCAGACGCACACACAAACAGATGTTAAAAACACACATACAAACACACACAGATACACAGGACCCCTGATGGGAGTAAATGGAGGGGAAGCATTGGTGGAGGCAAGGGGAGCCTGGTTTGTCATGGGACGTTAGTGTGAGCTGGTGTGTGTGTGTGTGTGGAGGTAGGGGCAACATGCTTCATTACACTCATTTAACTCACAAACGGGGTGAATGACAGGCCGGCGTGGGAGATGGGAGGAGAGGGGAAGAGGGGAGTGTGAGGGCAAAGCCGTGACCCCCCCCCCCCTTTTTACAAACACTGAAATCCTGCAATTAAGACTCAAATAGCAACTGCCAAATCCACCTCTCTCCCCCACCCCCCCATCACACACACAGACCTCCATCAGTCCACGCCAACTAACAAGCCCACCTCACATTTTACTCCCCAAACCCCCTGCCCACTCTTCGCTAAGCTAAAGCTATGAAGCCCCCACCCCCTTCCCACATTCGCCTTCAGCTCAACCCCCTGGCCTCACCTCCTGCTAGTCCCGCCCCTATGGCTCCTATAAAGAAAAGTATTCTAAACTACCTCCCATCCCACCCAAAAAGACACCACGAATAGCTCAACTCAAGTCTGAATAGCTGGTCATGCCCCATCGTTCATCATAGGCTGATGACATACAGTTTGAATAAACACCACTCATTACACTTCTCCCAACTTATTCATATCCTCTATTCTCTTCACGTTCACCATGAAAAAGATCAGTTCTATCAATCAATCAATTTTATTTCCAGACACATAGTACATAAAAAAAGAGAAACTATCTGAGTCCTTGGTTTTCATTTTATTTAATTTCCTTTCTTTCTCTGTTTTCATTTTCCTTCATATGTCATACATATATGCCTGTGGCCTTGAATTTGGTGATCAAGGGATTTAAATAATATTCCTTTGAAACAGTTATATATATATATATATAGCCTATAATGTAAAATCAATGTACACTTCTGTGTGCAGGCACCACAGTGAAGCTTTAGCAGTGGTTCTGTAGGTTTCAAGTGAAATCCGGCAAAAAAAATATTTGCTTAAAGAATTATTTTGACTTACTTGGGTGTTTGAGTTATGTCTTTGTTTATGCTACATATTCATTATTATGCAAACAAGTTATGAAACGTTTCTACAATTAGTAGACAAACCTGTGCTTCTCTTCTTAGTTGTGAGGTTATGGAGAGGAGAACCTTAAGGATACACATAAATGTTTAAACTTCACTCGCGTTTAAACTATCACAGTAGAACTGCTATACTAGTGAACTAGTGTGACATGCTGTGCTTTATTACATTCAGCAACACCAGCCCTACTTTAGGGCTGTTGATTTTTGAGAACATGGAACAGTATGCACAGACATGCAGAGACAGCTGATTAAAGTAAAGAGTAAGTAGAAGAATACACACTGTAGGTGGAAGCCCTGGCAGTCCACGTACCCCGATGACAGCGTTGAGCTCTGCCATGGTCACCTGTTTGGCTCGCTCCACAGCTTGGACCACCTGTTGCTGATGCTGCATAACACACAGACAAACACAATGTTGCTAAACAAAGAGTAAAAGGCTGATTTATCAATAAAGCTAGAACAGACAACCAGAGTGTATAAATGGCATAAAGTCTGAAGCTAAAAGTCACACATGCTTACCTCCTGTGAGAGGAAGGGAATGACTTGTGCACAGATGGTGTTTAGTCTCTTGGCAATCTCAGTCTGACGGAGGATGAGACAGAAAGAGACTTAATTGTTAATAACATAATTACATTCATTTAGAAAAGACAGCTGTTCAGTAACACCAATAAAGTAATACAAGCACACACACACACACACTGAAGCCCCTACCAGTGTATGATATAATAACAACACCCATCCAATTCCAGCTACACACAAATCCAGTGCGTGCCATTTTCAGCATCACTAACAAAGCACAATGAGATTTTCCTGTCTAATCACCAGTGTGAGTTCAAGTTTCTCTCTTGCCTGCTGTATTTCTTTTTGCTCTCTCTCTTTATCCTCTGTACTCTTGTCCCTCTTCCCATCAGCACTTCAACATAATCTCATCAGCTACTAACTTCATTTACTCCCCCCCCTCCAGTATCCATGCCAACACATCCGCCTGCCCCCCAAACCCCCCCGGAGGTGGCAACAATTGGCTGAAACCAGATACCCCCACAGTGGCACCAAATCAGATAAGGGGACTCGCATTACATATCATCCAATCAAACTGATACGAAGAAGGCCAGGGTGAAGAGGGAATTGGAAGAGCCATGAAACGTAGTAATGGCTCATCAGACGCACACATCCCACATAAACAGAGACACAGACACACGCTAGATGCGAAAGCTTCAAAAGGCGTATGTGCTGAAAACTAATGACGCTTTTTTAAAACTCTGTGAATAAGGCTAAAGCACACAGAACTTCCTCTTTCCAATAGACTTACACGACATACATTGCTCCAGTTTCCTACATAAATCCTTCCACCATCCGCTGTGCAGGACACTTGTGAATATTGCTGCAATTCCTCTGTCATTAGAAGGTCATCAAGAATCTACAAGCATGCTAGTGGCTGAACCATAAGGCTGAACTTATGCACTATGGTACTTTGAGCTAAATCTTACACATCGTAGTTTAGCGCGTTAGCATGCTAATTAGCTTTAAACATGAATTACAGCTGAGGATGATGGGAATTGCATGTATCTGGTCATAAACCAAAGCTTTGGACAAATTTTGATGATGATGCTAGATGAAAAGTCAGGGGATTAAAGTTACTGTAATTCATCATGAGGTGGGTTATGAATGTGTGTACCAAATTTCATTGCAATCCATCCAATAGTAGTAGAGATATTTGACTCAAAACTATAAAACTTCTGCTGGACCAAAGGGAAGAACCGACGCTAGAGTTTTCCATCATTTAATGGGTTTGACAATTCCTGAAAAGCTGATATTGCGGAGACGTCCTATTTAGCCGTAGCATATTAGCTCTCATCTGACCTGTCTGCTAAACACAGCTCAGCTCGCCAAATAACTGACCCTGCCACAGTTCAGCCAATTATGTACTTGGGTGAGCTAAATAAAGTACTAGCCTATTCAGAATGAGTCCTGAACTAATTAAGTAACTGCTTCACCTATAATATAACTTGGAGTGTGACTGAAACTAAAAAGGCTTGGCAATATTCAAATACACACCCAGAAGACAGAAAATAGGGTATGGTTAGGTAAATATGCCAAGTAAGTAAATATAGATATACCAAATAGAGGTAAGAAAATATGGAACAGCTTAACCCTGCAAATTCTAAACATTATAAATAATTGACTCTTTATCCAGAATCAAAGGGAATATGGGATCACAAGGAGTAATCTAAGCCTTCACAGCGCTCGTAGTTCTGTTTGTCATTTGGGACTGCATGTGTGAGAGCACAAGATTTGATCACGTGAAAAGCTTAAAATGCTACTTTTCTTGCTTATTGTGGAGAGCTATGTTTCTAAATCAAGCCACACAACAGGCTGTTGGTGGGGGAGAGAGATGGTTAGTCTGATGTTTGTATTTAACTACTTTGGCTGACCAGTCTGAGCAGCATTTATGTGAGACATCTTGCCATACTTTCAGCCCTGTAGAAACGTGCCCCCTGGCCAGCTCGTGAGCTGCTAACTTCCGCATGCTGAAACTCAATCTCATAATGTCTTACTTACTGAACGCCCAGAAAGCTCTAAATAAAGAGCTAGTTCAGGATATACTATACCTGCTCATCCATTCTCAGAATCCTGAGTTGTAAGCCTATAATTAGCCTTGTATAAAGGCTCAATGATTAGGTCACCTGAGAACAGTCTGACTTACTACTACCAGGTCAGCTCAGCTAATCTAACTAAGCTAATGACAAAACTAACAAGGATAAAGCAGACGAGGCCACAAATACCCGAAGCTGGAATCCCTAAGTGAGACATAACAAATACTGACTCAAGAGCATCCAGACAGGAAAAGAAAAAATTTAGGTAACAAAGCACACACAAATATTTCATATGAGCTCCTGAATAACAACATAGGAGATGGTGCACCATCCACGTTGTGATTTTCATAAAATTAAGCGAGTGGTTAAACAAAAGTTGAAGATACAGAGAGAAGACCCCATCCACACTACTACGTTTCCATTTTAAAACAGAAACCTTTTGCTATGTTTGCACCTCCCGTCCAGACTAAAACGGCGTACACGAAGACCTAAAACGGAGAAGTTTGAAAACACTGGCAACCCCATTTTGGTTTTAAAATATTCCATTAGTGGGGACTGCCAGTCTGTTTTCCACCGCCACAGTTGCTTTTAACTGGCGTGTTACATTCAGTAACAGTCCCAGCTCATTATTGGTCCATGACAAAAAAATATCTCATGCGGAACTTCTTCTCTTCTGAAACTAAGGAAGAGAGACACCATCTTCTTCATGTTTACACTGGCATGCGCATGCCCAGTGAACTAGATATGCATTTTCAGTCGTTTAAATATAGACAGAGATCAACTCTGAAAAGCAGCTAAAACGCTGGTGTGGACGGAGATCGTATTCGTTTCGTTTTGTGGATGGGGCCACACTGTATAATCGGAGCATTACTGCCACACTACACACACACACACACGTACCTCCCCAGCAGGAGGTGGGTTGTTTTCTGTATCCCCCATACCCGCCCACAGAAGCTTGTTGCTCTGACAACTGCAGACCCAAGCTAATGACCTCCCCTGGAGCTTTAGTGTGTGTGTGTGTGTGTGTGTGTGTGTGGACAATAGGAAGAGATGCATCTCCCTCACAATGAAAGAACAGAAGCTTCACATGGACATAAAACGAAAGAGGGTGGGGGTGTAGCACAAGAAAGAAGAGATCCCATGCTTTTAAACAGAGGCTGAGAAGGGCAGAGAGAAAATGGAGAGAACTTGGGGTAGAAAAAAAGGAGAGAATAACAGGAGAACAAAAAAAAAAACTACTGGGAGGGAGTGTGAGAGAGTCAAGAGAAGAATCCCCACTCCTCAGTGAAGCAGCCAAGCCAATCCACCTCCAATTTCCTCTGGTCTGACTGGTCGATAGCTGCGGTAATTACTGGTAAACGCTCTGAGACATGCACCACTCCTGTGGGGAAAATGTGTGTTTATGAGTTTTCCCTCCTCGTCCATGCGTCTGCGTAGTATGTTTGCATTTCAAATGTATTTATGCATAAACGTATTTGACTTTCTGTGTTTGTGTTTATTCCTCTATCTGCCCTGATGTGTTCGCATATATTACTTATGACTGTACATGAATGCCCTTACCTTACATTACAATGTGTAAGTGTCCTTTCTGCCATACTGAAGTGTATGTTGGTGTGTTTTGGCCTCCCTGCTTCTAAAAAAGGGAGAGATCCACTGTCTCTCCTCTGCCCGGCCTCACTGTGATCGATTCCTCTGCCCTCCCCAGCCCTGCCCCACTAATGTAATAAAGCAGGCCGCTCCCCTAGACAGCACCAATCAATCTACAGAGCCATTCATCCTGCCTCTGGGCTCAGGCGGCCAGCCCTAACTGGGGAAATGGAGACAGAACCCCATCGATCACGAATAAACACACATCCAGACACACACACACACACGAATGAATGAACGCACAAATGCATTTGCACATACACACAAGGACACGTCAACAGGCGCGCACACAAAATACATTAAAACCCTGCCATGAGAGGGAGGGAGAGAAAGAAAGAGAGGAAGAGACAAACAGTATGACGCAGAGTAGACAAGAGGCACACAGATAAGCGCCCTTACCTGTTTGTGCATTTCGATGTTGAGGCCATAAGACATCTCATAGTACTGAGGAAGACAGAGAGTCAAATGAAGATTAGTGAGAGGAATTCTGAAGTAAAAAACAGTTAAGAAAATATGCGCAAGGTGTTTCACTGGAACAACCAGGTGTGTGACTAAGTGTGATCACAAACAATTCAGAACGACATTCCTGTCGACTTTTTGTTTGTTTCTGTGTCACACTAAAGGCATTAGACACAAACTAAGCCTCCTTTGACCCAAAGCTGTTTGAGGTTAAGTGGCTAATAAAGTGAAATGGTATTTTACTTTAGGAAGAGGAGACTAATGCAGAACCTTCATCCCTTCAACCTTTGACCTTTTGTTAAATCAAAATGCAAAGTCTGCCTATTCACAATCTGCAAAGATGTAGCACAGTCTTATCTGACAAGCTAATCATCTTCATATCCGAGTAAGGAAACTCTGTACAAATGTGCACAATAAAAACAGCCTTAGTTAACACTTACTTTCATGTTGTGAATCGTTTTTAAATTTTTAATCACTCAGACAGTATTTACTTAATATTCAAATATGGGTTTTCACTTCTCTGCCTTTGGAAAGCTGAAAGTTCAGCTCTAGAAACACACAGAGCTGGTCGGGAATTCCTCAAGGGCACGTCAGCAGGGCAAAAGCCTCACTGTGTGATGTTGTGGTGGGAAGTGAACGGAGTGTCACACGAAGCTCACCATGACATAGTGTCTCTGCATCTCCGTCTTTTCACTGGCCAGCTTCTCACACTCCAGCTTGAGACTGAAAAACACAAAACACCATTTACTTTTTAAGAGATACCTAAAATTTGTTATTGCCATGTAGATTGAGCGTGTGTATGTGTGTGTGTGTGTGTGTGGGGGGGGGGGGGGGGGGGGGGGGGGGGGGGGGTGTATTCATCAGCCCTTGTGGACGGTTATTTAGTCCTTGGTTTTACAGTAAAAACAAGTGCCATTGCTGATCAATGAATATCAGCAAGTGCTTTGGACACAAACAGATGTGTGACTGTCTTCTTTCTAAAACCTAGAGTCAAACTAAGAATAAACATCCAGCTGTTTTCCAAAAATAGATAAATAACAACAGTGAAGCATACAGCTTGGTGGAAAGGTTAAAGTCTCCACTGATCCCTCTTTTTCACTTTGCTCACTGATTAAATCACTCACAAATATAAAGACAAATTTAAACAGTGCCAAACTACGACAACCAGTGTTGGAGGCAGGAGGTTTGGTTTAGTCCCTCTCTTTGTATTAGAGAGAGTATTAGAAACAAAAACGGCCTGTTTGTAGGTCGGTAACTTTCACCTGTTGCGGCCAACCCTTCGCGACAACACAAATAAGTAGAAGTACATACATACAAAGAAAAATGCAACTGCACAAATACTCAGGCAGTCTTTTCCCAACACACACCCACAGGGGAAAATAAGGAGTGATTTATGAAACCCTGAGCCCACACGGCAACCTCTGGCTCTCACCCATCACCAAGACTTAGACCTACCGCAGTGTAAGCACTAACAGTGATGCTTGGGTCTGCTGCATGTGTGTGTGAACCTAATCCAGGTTTATGGGTTAGTAAGAGGCCAGAGCTGGGGTTTTGTTCATTATGGTAAGGGGGATGACTGTGGTTAGGGTGAGGTTTAGTGTTAGAGGGCAGAAGACAATGAGGAAATTGGCAGCAGCGCAGCCCATAAAGACAGAGGAGCCCTTCCCTGTGAATGTGTGCATTTGTATTATCCACCTGTGATACTGTGCCTGGAGAAACTGGAACTCCTCCTTGATGCGGTCCAGTGACTCTGGGATGGTGAACTTGAAGGGCTGGCCTGGAGCCTGGTGGGGCGCCTGACACACACACAAACACAGGATTATTAACATCACAGTGCCTCATTATGTGGTCTACAACATGCATCTTATTCCTCCCCAGGCTCACATGTAATACCAACAACTTTTAATTATTAGCCATTATTAAACAAATTAAACGCTTCTCGGGCCAGATGCAGAGCACAATTAACAAGAAGAGCGTGATTTACACATGTGCTTAGCCTGAAGGCTGGTAAGACAAAAAGGAGGCGCGGGTCAGACAAAGAGGTGATGATGCTATCTCCCTGGCTGAGGAGACCCGGTTGCAGCCAGGTGAACAACTGTTAAAGCAGGACGGGAAGAGTCTTACCGGGTGTCGCCCCTGAGGAAACATTGTTATCTCCGGGAGGATGCAACCGCTGCCTTCTTAAAACCCCGTTTGGAAGGATCAAAAGAGGGTAAGTTACTGTGAGGATTTGGGGCTCTCCAGATCACGGAGACGGATCCATCCGCGGTTATTATCAGGACCAAGTCTCGTTAATTTCAACCAAAACTGACCGCCCCGCCGCTCCGTCCGAGTTCACCTACTATTTCATGTGAACCCCTGCTCTCGTGTCTCTCGCCGTCTTTCGGTCGTTGTCTCTCCTGCGCTCCACTGGCAACGCGGCCGTAAATCAACCGGAAAAACACGGGAAACGGCTCATTAGCTGGAGGCAGCTAACAGGAGAGGGGGGTGGAGGAGGAGGGTAGGAACCAGGTGAGAAATAAAAAAGACTGGAGCCACCGCAATCACTTCGGGGTTTGTTTTGTGTAGGATCCGATGTATTCCGAGTACTGAGAGACGACCAAACAAACAAACAAGAAAATATTCAAGCCAGTAGACCATAAACAGACAGCAGCAAACTGTCGGCTCTCAGTCGGAGCATCAGAAACAAATCCACACAAGTTAATTGCAGTGAAGAGTTCCCACTTGACTCGCGCGGTCGCTAGCTGGCGGTTTAACGGTCAACAGAAACAGAAATATTTACTTCCCCGCTGAGTTTTGGATGCAAACCTGCGTCCAAAATAGATTTCACGAGAAAAAAAGAGGAAATATGTTAGTTTTGATAGCAACAACTCCCACAGTGGCGGCGACAGTCCACCGTCTAGCTCTGCGTTACCTCAATGGCAACTTTCTCACGCGGTTTCACGCACCCCAACCGAAACTGTAGGCCGGCCCACAAAACGGCCGCGGACCAATCCAAGCCGCCGCTCCACGTGGGGATACTAATGTAGATTACACAGTTGACCAATAGCCGTACAGTAAACTGCCCCGAGTCTGTTGACCTGGTTGAGCTACGCGGATTCTGGCCAATCAAAGCGTGCCAAGGAGCTGCCATTCTGGAGGCGCGCTGGGCGGGCAGTGCGGTGAGTGAAGGAAGTCTCACCTGTCAATCAAAGTAACGTGGGCTCAGCAGGAGCAGGGTTGAAGGTGTGCGTGTGCATACACACACATACACAAGGGCACGCACGTGCACAAACGAAATCAGCAAACACAAACACAAATACAGTGTCGTGGCAAATCAACTTAAATCTCTCTTCCTCTTCTCTCTATGTAATATAATACAGTGTGCATGTTAATTTGGTAGGACTTGAACTCACTTTGTGTTCCACTTTTCTTAAAAGAAAAAAATCTATTCATGCTATTCATCTGTTGCTCGCTACATGTTCAGGCAGTATGTTGTTATTTTCATACACATTCAAACTATATTGGGTGAGCCACAGAGATAGCTCACAAGGTTAGGAGTCCATGGACAAACCCAAAACCCCAACTTCAGGGAAATATTGTGAGGTCCTGGTATACCAGTTACGTCACTTCAAAAAAGGATGTTGGTCTCAGTGTAAATACTACTTCCATGCAAAGAGGGGAAACTTGGTAGGGGAAATCCTGATTTGCAGTAACAACATTCACAGAATGCTATGTTATCACCATCACACAAATCCAGATAGAGACAGGTGGGGGGAAAAAAGGGTTCCCAAACAGGTCAGCAGTGTGCACAGACAAAAAGCGTAGGAACTGTTTTTACTTCACTCTGGTGTGTACATTTTTTTTAATGTACTCAGTTTGTGGACAAAAAAGCACTAAGAGGCAAAAGAGCACAGCAACTACTTACTATTTCTTCATAATTGTAGAAATTAAGTAGTTGTCTATATTGAAAGTATATATCATATCCACCTTCCTCATGTACTTAGTAACACCCGCACAAAAACATTTATTTATTCCAGCATCCCTTGCACTATGCTCCATTACACTATTGTTTTGCTGTCTACAAATGTTGTTGTTTGTGTGTGTGTGTGTGTGTGTGTGTACCGTACACTGTAGTTTGTAGTATGTACAAAAATGGATATTTATTTGTGGAGGTCCGTAGCTGCTTTGAGATAGATTTCTGATATATTTTTTTATAGCATTATTATTCATCTGTTTCCTCATATATGGCTTCATCTCTTTTTTTACATCAACTTTGGTTACAGTTCAGTATAGAGATACAGTTAAGAGCAAATGTCCGTGAGGTAATGATTAAAAACCTCTAGATATAATTGTCTGTGGATTAGATAAATTCTGACCCTGTGACTGCCTGTACTGATAGGAATATCTTGACTGTAACTTCAATATTTTACTGTAATACAATCAAAGAAAATAGCGACTGTATTGTGAGTTGGTCAGTGGAGGTTCCCCAAACTAAAATCAGAACCAAATTGCACACAGCTACAGCCAGAATAATGACAAATGAGTAACTTGCACCATTCGTCCTTCACTTGTAATCGTATATAAATAACTAGTATTAAGATCCGACATATCTGACTAGCTAATTAACTGATGAAGTACTAAGTGACTGACTAACAACAGATTTGTTGACCATGTCATGATTGGTGAGGTGGTGGAAACGGGGTTGTGAAGCAGGTTCTGAGTTTTCTGTGCTCTACTCATCCCGTCTGAGCACAAGTCCTCCATCCCTCACTTCACATGGAAAAGCCCCTCACCTCCACGCCGACCTGTGTTTTGCTTATAGAGCTCAACCCCTGACCCTGTGACCTCTGACCTCTGACCTCTGCAGCGGCTGATCCAGTCCATATGAGAGACTCCTGACTGTGACCAGCCATGACCTTTTTCGGCAGCTCTCATGACCACATACACAGGTGCTCTTCAGTTTGTGGTACTATTAATCAAAGGGGCGTGCACGTGTGTGTGTGTGTGTGTGTGTGTGTGTGTGCGTGTCTGCATACGTGTTGGATCCCCTTTTGTCGTTCTTCTGCCCCCCCCCCTTCCCTGTCAAATATTTTAATCACGATTAATCACATTGTTAAGCGCAAAATTGAATAAGGAATTCTAAATTAGTGTATTGCGCACTTTTAATTTAAACTTACTGCTATATACACAAAAGTACAATAATATGTGGTTTGCAAACACTTACAAGGTGCTTTTTACCAGCAGTATTCCCTTTACACAGTAGCAATAAAATATTTCTTGTAAATCTCAACTTAAAAATTAATGTAATCAAATCAAATATAAAACCAAAGCTTTTTGCCACTGCTAGAGCATTACCTTTTATCTAGCTTGTTAAAGCAAGCTACCATCAGAGTCCCGAGCCACGATCATAACATCATAACAGGCACCTTCAGAGCAACAGGTTAAATCGGTGTTCTTGTTTTTTTTCATTAGCAAGTGTCCCTGTTAGAGTGAGGTGAAGTGGTCGAGCCCGCTGCCGAAGTTGAATTGTCTTGAACTTTTTGTACTTGACGCGAAGCACAAAGCACTGGAAGAGAGACTGATCCTCGCTGTTTGTGAGTTTCCACAATCTATTACTGTTTACTAAATCAGGAAACAGGGCATCAGGGAATTTGCATGGCAAAACATCCCCACAAAACTAGATGAAGGCCTATCAGGTAAAGTTATGTAGTCTATAATTTTAACTTAATAGGCTACAGCTGTGTAGTGCACAGAAGCCGTTGCCATGGTTACTATCCATAGAGCGCCTGCCGTTTACTCACGGAGCGCTGTCTTACTTCTCCCACACGCTGCATCCAGCGTAGTCTGTCGAAGCCTCCCTCTGCTGCTTATTTGTGTGGGTGATTTGCAGGCTGATCAACATCCCACCGCACCGTGACCCATGGTTTGACTGTATGTGTATTCAGAGCCAGTGAGTAACAGACTTTCAAAATAATAATAATAAAAAGTCAGTGACAAAAGTTTAGGTACTAACGTTTCGGGTGGTTATGGTAAGGGGCTTCGGGGCTCTGTCAACACCTTTAGCACTTCCAGTCTGTAGGAGACGCCCCAGAGAGCTGAAGGGTACCTTTGATGTCAAATAACCACGTTTTGTCACTTTTTCTGAAAGCATTGGTAATGGACGCCCTATATAGTGGGTTTCCATTAAAGGAAGCTTGAGGCTTTCCACAAGCTAAACGTTTGAGGACTTGTGAGGCTTATAGATAATGTAAAAACAAGGCAGTCAGTGGTCCAGAAGGACACACACTGTGCATGGATCCACTTTGTTAATCATTTCCATTTTGTTAATAGCTTCTCTGCACTGCACTGCGAAGCGTATCCTGAATTATCCCAAACACTGCAATAACCTCAGCTGCAACATTTTCGTTCCTTCCAGCTGACTCCGGTTCCCCCATCTTCTGATGTTCTTCACAAATACACAGGCTTGGATGTCATCGTTTGTCCAAAATTAATTTGGCATAGTTCTTGTGTTTTGTTTTTGTCATTTCAGATTCAGTAGTAAAATGGCGTTGTTGTTATCCTGGTGATTTGCTCAGGATCCAGCGCACTGCTAGCACCACCTGAAACTTGAACCCCCATGAGCTCGGACATATTTTTATTCAAAGAACTTCTCCCCTGAGTGTGGGAATGGAAATAAAAACAGAACTTGAGACAATGGCTACATGTTACATTAGATTTCCCCAAGTTCCTATAAAAGAGGTAATTGTTAACATTTTTTATTCAGTGCTTTCTCACTTCTCTAACCAACACTTTGACGCATCAAACAACAACAAAAAGGTGCTGTCTCCTCCTCACAAGGGAAGAATCTGCTGGGCATGTATCACGTGTAGACATCATGTCTTCAGTTAGTCATATTTACTACACATCATCTGTATCCACGTAGTAAAATCTTTTCCTCTCCTCAATACACATCAGTCAAGTTACAAAACGTCCTATCAAAACAAAGATCTTGTGATACCACTTTACCAGAAAGCAGTTTGTCACACATCAAGAGCAATAAGTTAGCCGAGGACCGATCACATGTCACTCAGAAATATTCCTTTCAAATATGACTACTTGCAGTGCAACACAGTGTAACATGACATTTCCTTGCCCTCAAAGAACAGCAAGATATTGACATAAAAGAGTGAAAGCTAATTAAACTATGTTTTATGAGCAGAACAAAAGATCAGGGCTTCTCTGGTGCTTTCTCTGACCTTCATTGGTGTGTTTAACAAATTAATTTAAGTATATGGACTGAGACATATATACAGTAGCCTATGTATGATCATTGAAATGTAATTACACAAAAGTCACAAAACGCTGTCTGCTCACGAAGAGTTTGACACTGAAAACTGTAAAACAAATTTTTACTGCACAGATACAGACACTGTATTAAACATTTTGCTTATAGACAGTGAAAAGGCGTTCACTATTACGTGGAATTGGGCTTTTGTCAGTATAACCACTCTCATTTATACTTTGATCAGTGCGGTCAGTGGAAACGCTGATGTTTTACACTGAGTCCCAGGTTTTTAATTTCCTAGAACTGAGAATGAAAAAGAAAACAATAATCATTCATTAACATTTTATTAAAATGTTTATCCAGTAATGCAATGAGGTGATGTAATGTATTTTGAGAGTGTTTATTATTAAGGATGATACACTTCGGTGTTACATATGTGCTATTGTTTAAAATGTATTTGGACATGTTTTAGCGGTTTCAGATAATACAAGGTTAAAATTGTAAGGCCATCAAGTTTTTCAATGAACTACTTTGCACAGTACAGCTTACTGTACAAAGGAGCTTTAGTTCAATGAACTGCGGTGTTACGTAGCTCAGAACGCTTTGAAAGTGTCTGCTTAAGGTCAGGTAGGCAGCCTATTTAGTTAACTCAGACTATGGCCTAGGGCCTATGCAGTCAGTACA